TTTGATTGCCGATCATTTGCCGATCATTTTCGATAATAATAACTTACAAAGTTCAAATTACCAGCGAAGCAAGCTACGCTCATAAAAGCTATGCCAATGCATACCATATAACATGCGCCTTATAAGAAAATAATACTACTTTTTCGCTTTCCTTGACAAAATCGTAAGTTTATAAATGTAAAACTTCTTTTATTTAATATTTTTCCAATTTTTTTATAAAAACTTAAAAAAAAGTAACCACATTTTCTTATAGCGCAAGTGTTATACTGTGTATTGGTATAGTCATTATGAGCATAGCTTGCTTCCTTCAAAAATCTTAGGGATTTGAAGTTTGCGTTTTTTCACTATTGAAAGTGATCGGCGATGATCGGCAAAAAAAAACTTCGAATATGGCTATTCATATTAATATATGAGGTCCCCTATGTTTGTGATACTACCGATATCTAACCCCCCAGTTAGCATATGATTGGTCGCAATGCTAGCCACAAAGTGTATCGCGACAATCAAATTTTAGACCGAAATATCGCGACCTTGGAGCAAATATTTTCGTTTTGCACATTACACAAATGCCAAAGAAAATTAATATTACTGACAAACCGGGGTTTTCATACTTCACTACCACGCCATGTGAAGAATGGGATGCACTAGAATATCATGAGGAATGGTGTGCGTCCAAACATCCCATTAACAAGGCAACGATCACGGTAGCAATCACGCGACAGCTAGAATGGTTTATGAAGGAAGGATCAGAAGAAGAAAAGAAGGAAGCTAACAGAATGTTTAAGCAATTTAAGGTGTGTTACTTTTTTGCGTTAGAGGGCTAGTGCTGGTTCAGTTATGTAGGATTAGAGTGAGGATTTAGGATGAACAGTGTAGTGATGTTCACAAGCTTTACACGCTTAATGTCCTTGAGTCGAACCTGAGACGAAACATTTGTTTTTCATTATTCTGTTCGTGATATTGTTACATTTTTTTACGTGGCGGTTGTGGCAGGAATCACGAGGGAATACGTTCCGCCCGTGTATGGAATACGTTCCGCCCTGTCTCAGCTGAGATTGAAGCTACCCACTGGAATACGTATCCGAGTGGCGATGGAATACGTTCCGCTGAAATCTTTCCATGAACTTGCA